GCTGTCCCGGGTGTCCCATAGCTAATTCTACCCGTGTGAAAAGAAACCCAGTAAAATTGTCGTAGATTTGTCGTTTTTAGAACTACAGTTTTACAACGAAAGTACGACAAATTAACGACGATTGCGTTTCTCGTAAATTGGCCGTAGAGTTGTGGTTATTTGGTCGTTAAAGTGTACATATTAACGACGAAATAACGACCAATTTCACAAGCGCGCGTGTGGCCGGGCAAAAAACGTCGCAGCCAGTCGGCAGCGAGCGGGAGTCGAACCTCCGCCCTTCTGCTGACTAGCTGGCACTGTATCCACTCGGCCGAAGTGTCTACTGAGTGTCGAGGCGTCCGCTCGCCATCGGATGCAGCGTGCGCAGCCTCTAGTACATTCGTCGTTTTTTTGTAGTGATTTGAGCACCGCATGGGATGGCGAGCGGACGCCTCGACACTCAGTAGACACTTCGGCCGAGTGGATACAGTGCCAGCTAGTCAGCAGAAGGGCGGCGGTTCGACTCCCACTCGCTGCCGACTGGCTGCAACGTTTTTTGCCCGGCCACATGCGCGCTTGTGATAAATTGGTCGTTATTTCGTCGTTAATATGTACACTTTAACGACCAAATAACCACAACTCTACGGCCAATTTACGAGAAACGCAATCGTCGTTAATTTGTCGTACTTTCGTTGTAAAACTGTAGTTCTAAAAACGACAAATCTACGACAATTTTACTGGGTTTCTTTTCACACGGGTAGGGGCTCCAGGGGCAGCTCGGGTGTTACCTGTGCAGCGGCGGCCTCAGGACGAGGCTCAGCCCGTCAGGTGGCTCGCGGTAAATCTTTTCATTCAATCCGAATGATAAAACATTTCAAAAGAAGGCCTGCGATGGGGGGGGGGGGGGGGGGGGGGGGGGGGGCTGCTTCGCCCCTCACTGCGGAACTGCAAACGAACGCTGGCCGCGCAGCTGTTTGCAGCCCGACGAAAAATTGATAATGGTTTTGTTTTCTCTGGCCCCTGCTGCCCCCGCTGCCCCCGGCCTGCTCCCCCCGAGCGCTCAGCACCGTCCTCAATAATGTGCGAGCCCACATGGCCGCGCCGCGAACAGAGGGGCTCGCAGCTCGCGCTCGCGAATACGCCGCGCAAAATTATTCACCATATCGCTCAATACATCTGGAGCGCCTGACCAGAGCCAAAAGTGGGGGGGGGGGGGGGGGGGGGGGGGGGGGGGGGGGGGGGGGGGGGGGGGGGGTCTTTGAGGAGCGCCGGCCGCC